GGCCTCGCGCGCGGTCGGGTGCACCGAGGGCCCGATCCGCTGGCTGGTCGGGCCCCCGCGCGCCGCCTCCTACCGCTCCGGGGACCCCAAGATGGCGGGCCTGGGCGGCAGCGCAAGCAGGCCAGCGCGGACTCACAGGGCTCCAGCCCCAGCCAGAACCGCCTGGCGCTGAGGCCCAACCCTGCTGGCGGTGGCGACGACTTCTTCCTGGTGCTGCTAGACCCGGTGGGTGGCGACATGGAGAGCGCGGGCGCAAGCCAGGCTGCTGGGCCGGTGTGCAGGGAGGAGGCCGCGCCAGGCCTGAAACTCCAGGGGCGTGAACGCCGAGCGAGCCCCGCGGGCCGCCCTGAACTGAGCCCCTGCTGCCTAACCGCTGGCCCGGCCCCGGCCCCGGCCCCGGCCCCGGCCCCGATCCAGATCGCGATCCCGATCCCCGCCCCAAACCCCGGCCCCGCTCAGGCCTTCTCTGGCACGGTCAGGATCCACAACCAAGACCTGCTGTTGTGCTTTGAGAACGGGGTCCTCACCCTGGCCACGCCCCCACCGCCCACCTGGGAGTCTGGGGTGGTGTCCACCCTGCAGGCCGGAGGTCTAGTCCCACAGCCAGGAGAGCTGCATGCCACGCAGCCTGGCAACTGCCCAGAGCTGCCTCCTGACCTCTTACTCGCCGACCAGCCAGAGCCAGTGCCTGTTCAGGTGCCCAAGGAGAAAGTGGAGTGCACTGCCCAGGCCGACAGCCCCCATGGACCACTGAACCTGGGCTCAAGCATGGTGCTGTTCATGTGCCCTGAGGCGCAGTGCGAGCAGACCTTCGCCAAGAAGCACCAGCTGAAGGTGCACTTGCTGACACACAACAGCAGCCAGGGTCAGAGGCCCTTCAAGTGCCCCCTGGTTGGCTGTGGTTGGACCTTCACCACCTCTTACAAGCTGAAGCGGCACCTGCAGTCCCATGACAAACTGAGGCCCTTCGACTGCCCTGCGGAGGGCTGTGGCAAGAGCTTCACCACTGTGTACAACCTCAAGGCACATATGAAAGGCCATGAGCAGGAGAACTCATTTAAGTGTGAGGTGTGTGAGGAGAGCTTCCCCACGCAGGCCAAGCTCGGCGTCCACCAGCGCAGCCACTTTGAGCCAGAGAGGCCCTACCAGTGCGCGTTTTCTGGTTGCAAGAAAACATTTATCACAGTGAGTGCCCTGTTTTCCCATAACCGTGCCCATTTCAGGGAACAGGAACTCTTTTCTTGCTCCTTTCCTGGCTGCAGCAAACAGTATGACAAGGCCTGTAGGCTGAAAATTCACCTGCGGAGCCACACTGGTGAGAGACCTTTCCTTTGTGACTTTGATGGCTGTGGCTGGAACTTCACCAGCATGTCCAAACTCTTAAGGCACAAAAGGAAACACGAGGATGACCGGAGGTTCACGTGCCCGGTGGAAGGCTGTGGGAAATCTTTCACCAGGGCTGAGCATCTGAAAGGTCATAGCATAACCCACTTGGGCACAAAGCCTTTCATGTGCCCCGTGGAAGGCTGCCATGCCAGGTTCTCTGCTCGCAGTAGTCTCTACATTCACTCTAAGAAGCACCTGCAGGATGTGGATACTTGGAAAAGCCGTTGCCCAGTCTCCACTTGTAATAGACTCTTCACATCCAAGCACAGTTTGAAGACCCACATGGCCAAAAGGCACAACCTTGGCCAGGATCTCTTAGCTCAGCTAGAAGCTGCAAATTCTCTTACACCCAGCAGTGAACTTACCAGCCAGGGACAGAGCAATCTCAGTGATGTAGACCTCGTGTCTCTCTTCTCTGATGTGCCTGGCAATAGTTCTGCTGCAATGCTGGACTCCGCTTTGGTGAACTCTGGAATTTTGACAATTGATGTGTCATCTGTGAGTTCAACCCTGGCAGGAAACCTCCCTCCTAATTATAATAATTCCTTAGGGCAGGCTGTGGACCCTCGGACCTTGATGGCCACCAGTGACCTTCCTCAAAGTCTGGATACATCTCTCTTTTTTGGAACAACGGCTTCAGGTTTTCAGCAGAACACCTTAGATATAGATGATGTCCCAAGTGTAAGTACAGGACCATTGCGGTCTCTGGGCTCTCTGGCTATCAAGAATCCTAGTCAGGAGCCCCAAGCTCTGACCCCCAGCAATAAGTTAACAGTGGACACAGATGCTCTGACTCCTTCAAGCACCCTTTGTGAGAACAGTGTCTCAGAACTACTGACACCAGCCAAAGGGGAATGGAATGCACATCCTGAATCTGATTTCTTTGAACGGGAGGAAGAAACTCCATTTGGTTTCTCCAGTCCAGCAGGAAAAGAGGGTTCTCAGAGAGAAACAGATCTTATCACGGTGACTGGAAGCTCATTTTTGGTATGAGCTCTACATCATCCCATGGTTTACTCCTAGTACACTCTGTGTTGAGGGTATTCTGGACTAAATGTTCAAATGCAGTCGTTTCTTACTGGTTTGCAAAAGAATAGATCCCTGGACTGCAAGTTGGAGATTTAATTTCTGATCTTGAGTGTAGAACTGCCAAGTTTTATGACCGTGACTGAGTCACTTGATCTAACTGAGCCTTAATTTCCTTACATATAAAGTGAGAGGGTTTGCATAGATAGCTTTTTCCCCTAAGGTCTTTATCTGCTGTGTGATTCCATGAGAATGTTTCTTTCCTTGAAAATTGCTTACCTTTTAGTGATAATGTGGCATGTTTTTCCCCCTGCATATATTTCAGACATACCCTTCATCCTACTCCAATAATCATCAAATCATGAATGATCAATTTTAACTACATCCTACTCCCTCATATTTTGAAACATGTACCAGGCATCACATCATTACATTTATAAATATTTGTAGCACATATCTATAAAAAGTATGATGTCTTTTGAAATAAAGCTGCAATTCTTTTTATCACATTTAATGCTAACAGTAGTACCAGACAATATATGTTCAGTCAAATATAAATTGTCTCATAAATGAAAAGTGTTTCAATAATGTTTATAATCATGATTCCCAAAAATTCTTTAGTGTTTTTTAAATCTATATATTACTTTTATCTGTTTTTCCTTGTAAGTTTCTTTGTGGAAGAATGAATTTATTCCACTTGTAATATTTGTCAAAATCCAAGTATGTAAGTTTCTCTACCTTCTATTTTCTGAAATTGTAGTGCTTGATTAAACAGAATTGTTGGGAAAAGAATACTTCATAGGTGGTGTGTTCTTTTATTAGTTTGCCCATAATGTCTGGTTTTCTCACCTTTTGTGAGATTAGCAACTGATGACATATGATCACCTGTGCTTCTGTGATGAATTGTCCCTATAGAGTTACAAATCATCAGGGGGAAAGGAAATGCTGGATATGGTATTATTAAAATTTAATGAAAATATTATTCAATACCAAAATGTTGCTTAGTAGTAGTGCTAACTAGAAAAAAATTCTCTTTAAAAATATGTTCGCTGATATCATTGCTTATCTTCATCATACTTTGCCTTTTGATGATGGAGTCTATTGTGATACTGGAATAGAAAATGATACCCCATGACTTCTAGATGAAACCATCTTAGATTTAAAGTTTCACTAAACCTCGGCTTCTTAGCTGCAAAATGTTCATAGCAGTGGTTGCACATTATCTGGCACATCTTGTGTGTTTTTTTCCTTCAGTTTTTCATATGTAAGGGTATATATATGTTTGGCCATGTTTTGATATTTTTTATCATCTTTTTACCTTTTCAGGTACTTCTGCTCTAAGGGGGAAATCAGGATTATTTAATACTATGCATGTGCAAACAATAAAAATTTTAGCTAGCATTGTTTCCCAAAATGGGCAACACTGCGCCCTCTCAGGCTCTGAAATGATCCAGGGAGACTTGTGAAAGCAGACACTTACACTTTATCCTGGATTATGGGCTATTGTACAAATTTTTTCATTAGCAAGGGGATGCTGAGTAAGTATTTTTTGAAAAAGGGATCAATGCCATTCACTGCCATCGAGTCAATGCCTACTCATAGCGACCTTATAGGACAGGGTTGAACTGCCTCTTAGTTTCTACTCTACAGGAGTAGAAAGCCCTGTCTTTGTCCCACCAAAAGAAGGTGGTAGGCCAAAAAAGTAGGATCCACATATTTATAGGATTTTAGAGTGAAATACAAAAGTGGATCTCCCTTATTTTTTACTCCACAGAATAATTTTAACCACAAAAATTGTGAGGAAATGCCAGGAATGCTGAAATTGCTCATATGTACATTCTGCATACCTCTCCATTTGATGGGTTAGCTCTGTTTTTGAAGTCAGGCTTCATTGTCCTTGGAGCCAGGTTTTCCATGAAAATCTTTGATGATAGAGCATAATATGTTTCTTTTTCTCTGTGCTCTAAAGAGCTCACTGTTCGCAAGTTCCAGAACTTGAAGGAAAGACTGAAATTGAAGATTGTGTGAATATATTCTGCCATATATGAGTGTAGCATTTTGTGGTTCAGAAGAACCCTGTGTGGTAGTTTTGGAAAAGACTGTGCTATGACTTATAGCTGAACTACCTCACATCCCAACTGAGCTTAGGATCTCAAAAAAAACCTCACTGCCGTCAAACAACTTCTGACTCATGACAACCCTATAGGGCAGTGTAGAACTGCCCCTGTGGCGTTCTGAGACTGCAATCTTTTACAGAAGTAGAAAGCCTCATTGTTTCCTTAAGGAGTAGTTCCTAAATGCACATAACCACTACACCACTAGGGCACCTGGGCTTTGGTCAGTGAATGACAATTCTATGTATGATTTAAAGCAAGCAAGGGGAAAAAAAATTCACTTCTCCCATTTTACACATCTACCTTGTATGATACATTCCTATTTCATACCTACCCTGAACAACTGCTGTTTTATACTTTAATTGGTTTCTATTCCATTCTGCTTGCTTTCTCACCATTCCACTCCCTTGCATGTGTACTCCAATTCTTGCCACTCCTTTCATTTTTGTTTTGTTTTTGAATGGATAGGTTGTTTTTCCCTGCCACCATCCCTCAGCTGTTCTCCTTGCCTTTTTTCTTTCAATGATATCATTTGCTGAGTATGCACTACCGGTGTGTGCACTACAGGTATGTGTACAGTAAGATGTTATTCTCTGAGGTGATATATATGTATATATGTATGACTCAGAAGGTAGAGATTATTTTATATACTTTTCAATTGAGAAGTGGATTTTCTGTTTATTTTTTTTTTAAAGTTTTGTTGAACTCTCCTAATACCCTTATTTGCTTCTCATAAGTTCTAGTCTAGTAGTGTTTGCTTGTGGATGTCTGTAGGTGATAGTTATTGTAGAATTGTGACGGTGTACTAAAATTTTTCCAATTTGAAATGTTTTTGCATGGTGTGTATGTGTGCATGAACACACACATATTTTAAGTGATTGTATTCATTTAGTGCAAAAGCAAAAAGTGGACATATATTAGTAAATCAAAGAAATACTCAGAATTTTATTGTATCTATCCACTCAAAAGGTCAGTTTGGAATACTTGTACTCTTCTCTTTGGAATACTTGTACTCAGTTCATTTCAAAATTATATTGTCATTCATTCCTTTTTTAAAATAGACCGCTATTTTTGTGTCCCACAACAAATATGTCAAGGATTGAGATGAATACGCAGGTCTCAGATCATAAAATAAATTATTTAAATACAAAAAGAATTTAATACCTGTGATTTTATTTATTTCGTTCCACTAAACCAACTTCATCCATATTAAAAGACACACACACACACACTATAAACTGTATACTTTACTACTCATTCTTGGCATTTTCAATGGGCAAATGATACTGTTTTCAATGATGAAACCTTTATTTGCCAATTGGCTCACAGAGTTTCATTGAATAAACTTGTTTAAAGATTTTTAAAAAAACCATTTTCTAGCACTATGGTAGAGAGCAACTTTAAGAAATTTATTTTCTGTTGGTTATGACATAAGGATGTCATCTTTCCTTTAAAATACAATGATACCTCGGCTGTTGAATAGCTCCAAGCTCTAACTTTCCACTACTAAAACAGCAAAGTTCGAGGAAAAAAAATCTGCTCAGTGTTCACTACTTTGTGCAATAGTTGAACCGAAAATCCGACTTGAAAAAACCTGTACCAGCTGAGAATGAGTCACGAGTTGAGCTTCACCGTGGACACAAAGGGGTGATGCTTCACATTTTTATATTCTTTTTTTTGGCATTCTATTTGCGTAAAATATTGTAACCATGACTCCAAAGAAAGGTGGTAATACCAGCAATAAAGCTAAGAGGAAAACTGATAGAATTACACAGCAGAGCTACATAAAGAAATCATTACGAAATTTTAATCAGGTTGCTGCTGCTTTCTGAATTGGTGGCTGAATACCATATGGCTAATTCGACGCTATCAACATAAGAAAAAAAAAAGATTAAAGCAGTTAATGTAGTGTAAGTTGCAAAATCGTTAACCATGAAACAAAGAACCCAGACAATCCAAGAGGTTGAGGAGATATTGTTAATTTGAATAAATCGGAAACTCGATGACAACAGGGTATCCGAGACAGCGATATGTGAGAAGGCTAAAAGCCTACATAGTGATTTAAAGTCTTGGGGAAATGAATTTATTAGTGTGATTTTTATACCTTACAACCAAGTGTTTTGTTGTCCATTATTTTTTTAATGGGAAAAATATGTTCAGTTCTCAGACTTTTCGGTGTTTGAATTTTGAAGGAATTGAGTTTGACAACCGAGGTATCTCTGTAATGGTAATTGTTTAAATTTCATTCTTTTTCCTTTCTGCTGCTCCTCAGTCATGGGTTTATTTTAAAAATCGTAGCACTTGAAAATACAATAACATAAGTCCTTGGAAAGAAGTCTGGCCGTGGTTTGTTTATTGCCTCTTCTGGATATATGCCCAACAGGGGGATTACTGGGTCACATGGTAGCTATACCTTGGTTTAACCGCAAGTTTAGCCGTTTGAAACGACCAGCCTCTTCCAAGTCGCGTAAAGAGTTTCAGTTCTATAGGGTTACTATGAGAAGACATCAAATTGAAGGCAGTGAATTTGTTTTAAAATATTTTATTTTAATTACCTTGGTCACAAGTTTGAAATGGTAGCTTTGTCATTTTTTACCAATTAATATAATTAACGTAGATACAAAGCTTAATTGGTAGGAATAAAACATGGATAGTTGATGTTTATGTGTCTCTGTGACATAAACTCTTTATAATATTATCCAGGAAACAAGATAAGGCAATTTGTTAGCTGGAGAGTCCACTATTTCTACTTCAAATTAATAAATATTTTTCTGAAAATCATTGAGGAAAATGCAGCAGAATGTAGTGGAGGTTTTAAGAGGACTATGCAACACTGAGCTGTAAGATCATAATTGGTGTGAACAGATAGGAAAAACATATAATACGCAATTGGAGAACAGTAAAATTATTAATATGTTACCAAGAGGTGAAAAAACAGCAAAAATAATGACAATTTTATTCTAAGCATGCATTACAGTACTGACTAGCATCGTGTTTCAATAGATGAGTTCAAACATGAAAATGTTTTAGAAAGTTTAATGTAATGGAGATATACATTTGGATTGGATGGGAGCTAGTTTGATAGTTAAATTGCTGAGAAACATATTTAACAATTCAAGATAAAACACACAGAACTCTAAAAGCACTATTAATTTATGAATCTCTTAAGACAATTCCTTATGTTTATTTTATTTACCAAGTAGCAGGTATGTATTGAGTACTTACTATGTCAGGTATTGTGAGTTATTATTCCGAAGTACAACTCATTAATCCACTAAAATATGTCTTTGAGTAACTGCTGTTACTCAATATTGTTACAAGTCCTTTTGTACAAAAGACATGATCTGGATAGGAAGCTAGTAGACAACTAAAGCCAGTGTATAACACTAGAATTTTAAGAGGTACATTATAGATTTTACTATAGTTAAATGATCATTGTACTATGAGTTAGAATGATCATTTTCTGTGAATAGACATTAATTACTATTCAGATTATCATCAAAGTTATATTATTACAATCTAACATTTTATTTAATATATAAAATTAGTCCAACACTGTTCTAAAATAGAGTCATTTGAGAAGTAGACCTGATAAGTTATTGTAAAAAA